GCCTGGCCGCTCTCCCCGCGGTGGCCGGCGGCTAGGCCGGCCCGCCGTAGCGCGGCTGTTTGCCCGCAGAGGCCTCGGTGCCCCTGCGGTGTCGGGGGCCGTTCAGTCATGCCTAGGCAGGAGAACGGCTTTTGTTATTTTGCGTGAGACATCACAGCAGCAAAGGCCTGTGTCCCTCATCCACCACGTTTCCCACAGCCCGCTTTATGCCGCCCTGGGCCTTTCTTGCCACTGGAAGGCCCAGCCCTGTACATGGCCAGGCCGCGCAGACCCTCTCCTGCTGTTGAGGGGCTCGGCTGCCTCCTCCGACGCTGTCACCGCTGCAGGCCGAGCCCCAGCCGCGTTGCCTCCACATCGCTCAGTGAGCGGGGACGCGTGAGCACATGGCAGTTACTGAGATGAGCGTGTTTCCTGACACCTGAACGCCACGCAAACCCCCTATGGCCTGACCGAGACTGGAAGTTGGTTTAGAATTGCCGTGGGAACGAGGAGGGTACCCTCCAGCGGCAGTGATTCTTCTGGGTTTTGGAGGTTAGGTCTAGGTGGAGTTGTTACAGTCCTAAAATTTTATGTCTGAAGCGAGAGTTGGATCTTAAAGCTGTGTAAACTCACTGTTTTTTCTTTGAAACGTAAACTGCATGTATGCTGTTATAACTTTGGGAAGAGGTATTATTTTGATACCACGAAGGTTCTCCTGTGCCCTTAGAGCAGCATATAACTTGTCAGTATCAATAATGAAAGTGCTGCAGGGTGTCTTATTTGAACACCACGGTGCCATGAGACATTATACTGAAAAGAATCAGTTTGTAGGCTGGGAATGCATGTCAAATTACAGGGCCTCTCACCCTCCTTGCTTCTTGAGGAAACCTGATAATAGCATGGGTTAGTCTATTGAAGGGTGTATTTGCTTTCTCTCAGAGCTATTTAAAAGCAAATTGCACTATAAAATTTGTATGTTTATTAGATTTTGTTTATTGGAGTGGACGTCCCCGACCTTTCAAAAGTTAGAGCTTGTTGTTGGGGGAGGGGGATGTATCATAACATGCATAAGTATTTAGTTTTACCAGAAAATAACAACTAATTTTTCTGGGATTAATTTTAAATTTTTATTGGACAGTTAGCAGAGTGTTTTGGTTTTGTTATTTCCCAATTAAATTACACTTGGTTTTATTTAAACACTTAACTTTGGACCACATCTCAGGAATTACTGTTTGTTTGTTTTTGTTAAACGTGGCTGTTCTGTTACATCATTTCACAAGTGTGATCCCTGACATGGAAAAGTAAATGTAAATTAGCTGAAAGTAAATACTGAGGATGACTTTTTTTTATTTTAAGCGATGCAGCACAGCGTGCAAAAGGCAGTTTATAACTACTACGGGCTTTGCAGGCTCCTGACTGTGGGTTGCTTTGAAGACCAAAGAGGACCCTGTGTGAACTAGTCAGAAGAGTTTCACTAAAACCGTGACTACGAAGCTCTTCACACAGCAAACTAATTCTGTCTGGATCGGGTGTGGGCCTGACGCATTACTTAAGAGTACACAGTGAAAATTTTATGCCAGCTGCAGAGGGTGAGACAACATCTGTCCTGAAGAAAGACTGAAAAAAAATCCATCAGTGATACTAAATAAATACAGACTTGTAGGATGAGTCTAAGACTGGGTCAGCCCTTGCTGTCCGGTATATGGAGCACCAGAACGGTTTTGGCTCTTGAAACTAATTTTTCAGCCTCAGGCTTTGCTCTTGGAAGATTTCTTCTCTCACAAAGTTCTGTCAACAGGAATTTCATTCAGGTACTTTGGTTTGCCCACACACAGTAATTTCAGGTCAGAGATCTAAATCTGTAACAATTAACTTTTTTCTTAGGGATTTCTGTCCTGTAGACATTTAATTCATTGTCAGTAGTTATGTTGAAGAATAATGGGACTGCTTATCCAGGTAAATAGCGTCTACCAGTGTTTTCACAAGCTTTTAGACACTGATCCTATGAATATAAAAAATAGAATTCTGCACCAGTTAAGTGAGTGGAATAACTCACCTTAGTAAAATGATGAATGTGCATTAAGGATACAGAGCTCAATTCTTTCTAGCTGTTTTATTTCATGGTCTCCTGAAATCTGTTTGCAGTTCTTTGTGCTGTAACAGCTAAATCAGATTATTATTATTTTGGTTATAGGAAGTACCACCTTTGATGAGTATTTTTTGCTAAATAGGATCATACAGAATCATTTCCAATAAATTAGTTTGTTATATATTGGATTGTATTCAACAGCTACAACATACTGTCTGTTTCAGTTAACCATGTCTTCAAATTCATCTACACTTTTAAATGAAGAAAACTCTCAAGGACCAAAAAGAAATACTGAATGTTTGGAAAGTCTGGAATTGCAGACTGCATCATCATTTCAAGATAACCCACTTCAACAATTACAGCTAGCATCACAGGAAGTACTTGAAAAGGCAAAAAAGAGCGGGAGATCAAAATGCCCCCGATGCAGTAGTTCAAGGATGTTTTACTGTTACACATGCTTTGTTCCTGTTGAAACTGTCCCTACCAAAGAAATTCCGACTGTGAAGGTTAATATTTCTTCTGGATTTTTTTATAATGTTCTTGTGCTTTTTAGTTACTGGGGATAGAGAACAGACAGTCCGTCTGTGACCATTTCTTTTATGATTCATTCTTTATGGACCTTCATCTTTAACACAGCTATAAGTATGAATAAACTACAGTTAGACAAAATTATTGTTCTTACTTGAGGAATTACATGTACAAACACTGACAGTATTCCAGTCCTCACATAAACATTTATGTATCTACTAGATGAGAAGATAAGCTGAAGTCACTCAGCTTCTCGTGCAAATTACTGTTTTCACTTAAGTTCTTAAAAGCTTCTTTACAGTGCTCTTGCCTTCATTCTTCAGTTTCTATGAACTCTGGCCAGAACAGAGTATATTGTGAACAAAAAATATGATTTGTCCATAACCAAGAGTGAATTTTACATAAAATGTGAGCTAAAAGGCATTCCTAGATGTCATGGTTGTATAATTCAGATAACTACTCTTAAAATATAAATAAAGAACAAAGAGCATAATGCCTTTCAGCAAAAATACTTGGAGAAACCATCAAAGAGGACTGAGATGTTTTGCAAAATCACCTAGGAACTAAAAGGTATTTTGAAGACTCTCTGTAGTTTGAAAGCATCATGAAAATACTTTAGAAGTACTTTGGAAATCTGACCTCGTTGTATTTTCATTGAAATGGTCATTTTTGCAGTAGGGTAAATACTTAATACAGATAAATATTTAGGACTGTTATATTGCTCAAATTAAGACCACATCTTAATTACCTTACTGATAGGATTTCTAGAGGTTTTACCACACCAGTACTGCAGCATTCCAAATTGCATTCATTGCATACTTCAGTATTTACATGAACTGAGAGAATATAACAGGTGCTTCTTGTCACTTGTCTCTCCTTTAGTTCTAAATCTATTAAAAACGTTGTCAAAAATTGTCAAATATGTCTTAATTACATGCCCATAGGGATTTCTCCTAGCTTTTGCATAAATATTTGTACCTGTATACATGATCACAACTGTTGCTTATTTCTTTCTTTCTTACTGTAGTTACCTTTGAAGATTGACATTATTAAACACCCAAATGAAACAGATGGCAAAAGCACTGCTGTGCATGCTAAGCTCCTGGCACCTGATGATGTTACAATTTATAAATACCCCTGCATTCCAGAATATGAAGAAAAAAGACATGAAGTAAGAAACTATATAGATAGGCACAAGGGCATTAGAGGTTATTTCTTCTGATCTAAAATTTGTGAATGAAATTAGAAACTATTCTTTATGGCCTTCCTGCCCCATATACTGCAATGTCAAGTGAAATTTGAGCTTCCATTTTTTTTTTTTTTTTTTTTTTTTTTTACAAAAATGTTAGAGTTGGTAGTAGAGGCATGGAGGTAACATTTAATTAAATAGTTCAAATGTCTTTATTCACTAGTTTAACATAGTATTTTATCCTTTTAGATAGTAGATTACTTTTAATTAAAGAGAGATTTTTTTGTCTTGTCTTGACCTAAATGTTTGTGGGTGGGGATAGAAAATTTCTGTTCTTTAATAACCAGTTCCTGGTGTTTTATTAGATTTTGTTGACACTCACATTTCTTTCTTTTCTTCATTTAGATAGCGCTTATATTTCCTGGCCCCAATTCAGTTTCAGTAAAAGATATTGCTTCCCATCTCCAAAAGCACACTGAGAAAAATGTTTGTGATAATGACGATGACTGTTCCAGAGAGCCGTCTGTTAAGCAAGCAAAAATAGAACCTAAAGAAGAAGAAAAAAGTATAAATAAACACATCTCAAGCAACAAGAGTGAAGGCACTAGACTGAAGAAAATAATATTTATTGACAGTACCTGGAATCAAACTAACAAAATAATAACTGATGAACGACTTCAAGGTAAAAACAAAAAGTTGATCTTGAGATGTTATTGCTACAGAAATGATTAAGGGAAGTACATGTCTATAGAACAGACCTGAGCGTGATACAAGTGTATACCTAACGCTGTATCTGAGTATACTGGAAAGATTCATCTTTCTTTTCTAGTGAAGTTCTTAGTTTCATGGTCATTTCAATGACCTCTCACTACTTTTCAGATAAAAGGGGAATGCCTGCTTGCCCTCTGCACCCTCTGATCTCTGAAAGCAAAAACTTGTTATTATGCAAAGGTTTTTTGTCTTAGGTTCATTACAAGAAGTTTACATTTAAGTATTCTAAATGAAACCAAGAAAGATAAACCAGTTTAGCAATAGCATTCCATTTGCTTGGAGATAAATAGGAGCTTGAAAATACTTTCATTAGTTTAAAAAGTGCACTTAGCTGGGAGGCAGGCTATCAGGTTTATAGGTAATATATATAACTGCTTACTAGTGCATGCTTTGCACTGGGCCTACAAGGAGTTTCACAGACTTCTTACATGCAAGATGAATGTTGCCTTTTTGTCTAGTCAGATTATTAAAGAATGCCACATGTTAGTATAACCTATTGGCTAATTAAAATCTGTTACTAAGTATTTAGTTTAACACAAAACATACTCTGTCAAAGATTAGAGTAATTGCATGTTGCAAGTTACTGGAAAGGAGTTGGAACTTATTTTAAAAGGATGAATTTAAGAAAAGTAACAGGCAGCCAGGGGAACTGAAGATTTCTGTGGAAGCTTATGTAGTGTATTAGTCAAAAATCACAATTAGTGTTACTGTGGAGCTCTGAAAGAGTGTTTTCCAGTTACCCCATATGAATGGTGATCTGGTTGACTCTTCTGTTCCAGCTATATTCCAGTCTTCTGTTTCCTTGAGCACCTTTCAGGATTTCTGTAAGGTGTTGACTAGTGTCATGCAAGTCAGTCTCTTACACCCAGGAGAGATTTTTACCCTCCCCACAGCGGGTATAACAGTGTGCACAGCCCCTGTATTCATTGCTTTTCTTAGTGCCTGTCATAAAGGTCACAAGTTGCATTAATATTCCTTTTAGAGATTGCGGTTTTTTGACTTCCAAGATGAATGGGGCAGTTTCCTTAGGCAAAAATGATGACATTTTTATGTTGTATACACATGAAAAATAGAGAACTGTTGTCATTTTTCAGTTCAACTGCAAAGGAAGTAATCCAACAAAATATTACGCGTATATTAAAGTTCAAAAAGGCACGTTCATAATTCCAAATAAAAAGTAATTGCCATACTTATTCAGAAAGATTAAGTTACAAGAAATACTGGATGGAAACATTAATGAAGCCAAGAAAATGTAAAGAAAAGCTTTGTGTTTTGGAAGCCTACATTTATCTAGAGGGTAAATGTAACTAATTGTACTGCAAGAGAAAGCAAATGAGTACATCAATCTTTAAAAACAAAAGTCTAGAAAACTTGGACAAAAAATACTTCTATATCTTCTTGGAAAAGTAGTGTAATATGTCTTTAGAAAGCAAAACTAAATCAGTTGTATTAAAGACAGGAAATATTTTAAAGTTGGCAATGTCTAGGATTGATAACATTAAAAGTGATCGCTAGATCAGAAAGGAGACAGTTGCATCTAATGTTAATGATAACTTTCTCATATGCGTGATGCAGCTTACTGGCATCATCAACACGGTTGTTAAACAGATTGCTTTGGTATTTTTTTTTTCTGTAAGTTTGATCCACTAGCTAAATGTCTTATTTTAGCTTACACATTCTCTTGTACAAGGTTGAATCATACATCTGCTCTAGTTTGGATTTTTTTTGTTGTTTGTTTGTGGGTTTTTTTTTAAAGTTTCTGTGCTTCTTTCATCTCCACAAGAAAACAGTAGCCTTTGCCTGTGCACAGCTGGGGTATTTGAGAGCAGTAAGTTGATGTCCTCTGAGGCAAAGAGGATCTCCCGATCCTCTTTTTCTGACAAATCTTTTGTCATCTTCTCATATTTTCATCTTTCTTCTTCCCACAAAATCACACAGAGTTATGATGCAAAGCAAAAATAGGAGTTCTGTCATGAGTTTCCACATTGTTTTTTTAAATAATACATGCTGACATCATTCAGGGGGCCATAGCAGAGGCAAGGTGAATCCAAGGTGTGTAAACCCCTTCTTCCTCAGCCTGAATCCTTAAATTACTCCTAAACATTGGGAATGTAAAAGATTAGGAAAGGAGCAGAATTCCTGACTGAAATAGCTTTTCAAGCTGCTACCTCTTTAGGAAATTAACAGCATCATTAAGATAACAATAGACACTTTAGCAAGAACTTAGACTCTTAATAGCTACCATAAGTGCAAAACCATAATTACTCATTACTTACAATTTTCAGCACTAGTATTTCTTGAAGTGGTGGATCTCCCTGTTCACTATACAAACTATAGGCAATGGAAGGCTCAGAGTAAGCAACAGGCTTCAGCATGTGCATAAACTTTACAACTTACATCTTGTTGATAAAAGAACTGCAAATCTCTTAGATGTAACATCAGTGACCAGACATGATTAATATAGAACCCTGCATGTTTGAGCATTCGATTATTATAGTGGGGTGAACACAGAACTGTGCTGTGATAATAGGATGTAGCATTTGAGGAGAAAAAAGGAGGTTTAAGGAAAGGTGGGAGATCTCTGAAAGGCATCATAAGATACATATACAGGAGAATAACTTTTATAGGGGAAATTTGGCTACATTACCTAAGCAGATTTAAAGGTAGCGGTATTACCATTGTGCTTGATCCCAAATTCATCAAAATGTTTCTTTCTAATGATCTCAAAAGTATGTGGATGCTAAAAAAACCAAACCAAACCTGTTGATTTCCTTAGTATTGTAAGCTTTGGTGTGAACAATCAGTATTTGTAATAAAACACTGCCTTTGGCTGTATAGATACAGATACTTTACAGATGATAAAAACCTGCTTGGTAAACTGTAACCCTTAACCTCCTCTAAGCTTTTTTTTTTTTGATAAGAAACTCCTAGAATTCTGTGTTTGAAATTAAATGTTCCTGCATTTGTGGTAAGCTCGGTAGTGTCAGTGGTCTTGCCTTCAGTGAACTTTTGTTTGTATTCAGACCACAAATCGGTGGGAGTTTACATTGGAGGAATTGTCCCTTAAACTTAGTTCCCTGCTGTAAAGGTGGAAACATTTCTGAATTCGGTGAAAGTTTTCACTTGGGTTTGGGCTGAGTATTCAAGTATTAAAACCTTTTGAGAGAAGCAAGCTTAATGCATTTTCCTATTACTATTTTCAGTAGACATGTATAGGATTATTAGAGATACTGATTATGTTATTTTGAATTTTTGGTTCTGAAATGCCAACAATAACATTTAAATTCAGTGATGGAATCTCCCGTTGTTCAGGTTTTTTAAACACTCGCTGTAGGAGAGGTTTCTTTTACTATGTGAGATATCATACATTACTAACTGCAAAGCAAACAACTAAATCCATCTTGCAATTACACTAGAAAGAACTAAGTGTAGTTTGAAGGTAGAAAGTACTGAATTGCAAGTGCTGGGCTATAGGCCAGCTTCTCTGTCCATAACTTCCAAGCAATTCTTAAACCATATTGTTATTTATACTATCACTTGTACTTAACTATCCCATGACGCATGTAGTATCTGATTTTAGCTTTTAGAAAAATATAATTTTACAACCTGATCTTGGTATTATTGACAGGTGTATTATTATTTATAATCCAACTGCCCATCCTGTTTACAAAGTGCTTACACATTAAGGAGGTTTTAATTTCAAGTAGTTTGTCCATTTTAAGGAACATAAAAACCAAGATACATGTTTAAAATTCATCTGAATAATAAAATAGTTACAGAGACTACAGTAGATAAAAGATTTCCATGTGCCATACAGAGCCCAAATTTCTTTCTTTCCTCTCAAGGGGGAATGCTTTTAGTTTCCAATAAAATTAACGACCAGCTTCTCTCATACTTATTCCTGAGTAATCCCAGTGAGATTTCAGTTACTTAAACATAAATGAAAAGTGTCTGGCTCTTAGCAAATATTCCTCGGTTCAGGAAAACTAACAGTATGAGGGATTCTGGTTTACACTTGAAAGGTATTAGCTTTGCAAAAGGTGAAATTTATTAATCACTTTATGAACATTGATAAGTCTTTGCAGGTGTGGATTTCCCTCTTCCCATCTGAGGAGACTCTGCAGTTTACTGAGGGCTGTGAGGCTGTATGGATGAAAGGATAACTTACAAGTTTTAATTGCAATTATGAAGATTGTAACCTAGAACTTCAAACACTTTGACATTTCATGAAAAAGTGATTCACAGAGGAGGATAAAGTTCTTGCCTCCAATTTACAGATGAAAAATGTATGTACAGGAAGAGAAATGCAGGCATCGAGCAGGCTAGCAGCAAAGTCAGGAAACAGAGCTAAAGACTTGTTTGGCGTCTGTAGTGCTAGGGCCTGAAGCATAGGCCCTGAAACAAAGTTGACCTCTAGATGAACCTCACAACCAAACGTTATCCATTATTAGTATCTGTTAATTAGTAAAATCATATTACCATTAGTGTTAATTATTAGTATCAGATCATTAATGAAACATGTATGCTCACTATTGAAAGATGTAGTTCAGACAGAATATAATCAGTCGTGAGGATGAAATGCTGTGATAACGTATCCAGCTTCCCTTGTTCAGGGCTGAGAACCCAAGTGTTTGGCCTTGTCAGAAACTTCCTTGGTTCTCCCCGCCCCAAGCCCTGGCCAGGCTTTGGGTAGAATCCAACAGGAGGATGAAACCAGATGTTTCTGCTCAAAACAAAGGTGCAAGCTGTTCTGGCTTGCTGATTTTTGGTATATAAGGCTGGGCCCGCTTGCCGTGACTTCGGCTGCCTCACCTAGGGATGGACGCACCACGCTGGACTTCCCACTTGCAGGGAGAGGTACTCCAGTCCTCACTGCAGCCGGGGCTGCCCAGCGACTGCGGATCTCATGTTGGTAACGTGCAAGTGGTGAAGGATCTTTCTTGATCACTGTTCTCCCTGTGGTGTAGTAATGATTACGTGCATTGCCTTGCTTAACTGTATGTAGCAGTAATTAAGAGTACTATTCTGTGTTTTTCTTACTGCTTATCTTCTGTATTACTGAGTTACATCCTTGAATTAACAACAGTAAAATCAGCCTACTCTTTTCACTCTGGTGTCTTGAGTTTAACTGGCATCCTCTATCAGCAGAAGAACATCCTATCCACCAATCCACGTTGTCTAATCTATGTTACCATTTTTTCTTGACAGGGCTGCTGCAAATTGAGTTGAAGACAAGGAAAACTTGCTTTTGGCGTCATCAGAAGGGAAAGCCAGATACATACCTTTCCACAATAGAAGCAATTTATTATTTCCTTGTGGACTATCATCAGGAGATTTTGAAAGAGAACTACAAAGGACAATATGATAATCTGCTTTTTTTCTTTTCATTTATGTACACATTGATTAAAAATGCCAAGTGCTGTGCAGGAAAAGAGTAAGATGTCTGCCTCTAGGTAAGTAACTGCATTTTATTTTGTTTCTTTGTAATGATAAACTGCACAAGCATAACGCTTTTTCTAACTGAAATCTGGAAATAGATTGTACTCTTGATAATGGTCACAGTGTTTGTCCAAAAGGAAGTCATAGACCTCACGTCCTGCACATTTATGCTGTAGAACTACTCAGAGGAGCAGTCTGAGGAGAACTGCTTATTTGGAAACAGCTGTGCTTTGCTACGTACTGCTGTGTTTGAACCTACAGACCTGATACGCTCATCACACTGAGATTAATTCCTGAGGTGGGGATAGGAGGACTTAGCCCCTCTTGCCATGTAAAAAGGAATTAGCATGATAGCTTTTTATTATTGTTAATGCTTTGTTTCAGGTGTTTTCTTTGTGTTTTACACAGTAATACTGATTTGACTTTCATGACATGAGAAGCTTACTGAAATTATTAGGATGGAATTTAATTGTGGGCAGCAATACAAAATAAAAGACCACATTAAATGAACAAAATATAAATTTTGTACTTTCAAGATAAATTCTGGAAAATTGTCCTAGTAATAGAAAAAGAGTGATCTGTTTTAAACATCATTATACAGTACATGATTTCTGTAGTACCATTCACATAATGTTACATTAAGAATATTCTCAACTTCTTCGATAATTTTAGACTCCTTCAAACTAGTTTAGTTAAGTGTTTATCATCATTTTATATCATCATTGTTATTTTGTGAACACTAACTTAACAGATGTCACTATGGCATATCATAGACAGTAGAATTTTGTAGATGCCACGTGTATTCTAAGCAGCAGAAGGGGCTCACCACACTGTAGGAGTTGTCTGAAAATGTACGTCTTTTCGCAGGATCTAAGAGAAAGTAATTTGCAGAGACAAGAAATAGGGAAGACGGTGGTTCCAACAACCCCATTTTTCTCAAGACTTCCTTAAATTAGGCATACTGTGAATCTGCTGTGTTTTCTTTTCCAGTAATAGTGCAAATTTGAACAACATAAATAAGGCTTTGCCTATGCTGATGAAATTTTTGCTGTGTGTGTAGCACAGCACGGCAGGCAGAGACATCACATGTGTATGTAATTACACATGTGACTTTGCCAAGCTGTACCAGTACAGCTAATGCTGGCAGAGGTAATAGACCTAGGCTATAACTCTCATACAGTTATATGGACCTATAACTCTTATACAAGAGTTACATGAATATATTTTTATCATACGACAATGTTCTACCAGAAAAATTTGCGTTGTTAAAAATGATAGTCTTAATGTTTCATTAGAAGTACAGTGTAAGATAGAGAAATATTTCTGAATCTTCTCAGAAGCGTGTTACTTAAAAATCAAATCTTGTCAAAGTGACACAGATTGAAAAATAATATTTAAACAAAAATTCCAAAATATTTGTTGTAGCTTTTCCTCAAAAAAAAAAATCTGCCTAAATTACCACCTGTAGCATACTCTCCAGGAAGGCACTGTCATACCCTGGTGAACATAGAAAGAGTGCCTTGAAAAATACTTCCAAAAAATCTTTATACACTTAAACAGCAATCCATACAGGCTCAAATAACTGATTTGTACGATGTTTTTAAATGCTTCAGGATACTGAAATCAAAGTTAATGTTGCTTAAAATACAAGATACAAATACACTCTCTGCAAGTCATACTTATCTTCAGATTTGTATGCTTATCTGCACAGGGGAATGATACAAGATGCATTTCAGTGGACAACCAAACCACGTCTCCTCCATTTGCAGAACAAAGTGCTGGTTAAGTTACATGAGTGCACATGAAGTGTGCCTGAACTATAACAGCACCACGAGAAACACAGGCTTGAAGTCAGAATGAAAAGGATTGTTTTTAAATATACATATATATTGAGTTCATATGCCAGGCAATGAGAAAAATCATCAGTCATGTCTTGATGCTATTGAAACAACACATTTCTTACTCATTTGGTTCTTACTGCTATTGAGAGGTTATTTTGGCTTTTTACAATGATTAATGCTATTTCCTTTGGTATGGATTTTGATAGTCTTTTGACATTTCCATCTGTTCTTGTATTTCTTAAACAAAGATTGTTGTAATATTTTTTTTAAAAATCACACAAGTATAATAGCTTGAGAAGGAAACTTTCACCCACTTTAAACAAACAAAAATAAAATGAACCACTGACCTAATGTTTTACAAGAACCAGAGAGAAAAATCTGGGGGGGAAGGGGGAGTTACTTCCAAGACACATTTCCCTGAAAACATGTTTTTTTATTTAAGAAGCAGAGGTCAGATAAAAGCTTATATAAGCTGTTCTCTGTTACTTTTGGAAAATAGTTTCATAAGGTTAAAAATGGTTTCCAAATTTAAGTTTTCTGTACCTCACTTTATTTGAACAGTGGGAATTAAGAATCTGTTCCAAAAGTGAATTAATTTTAATTCTCAGGTGAAATCAATGTACAGAAAATACTTTAAATCTGGAACACTGTGTCCAGGAATTGGGTTCACATTCTTTTTCTTCCAGTGCAACCTCAGTATAATGCAAGAGTCATTCTTATACCAAGTGACAGGGGCACATCCAATATTTGTAATTAATTAGGGTCTGTTGATATTCCTATGATAACCTTTTATGAGGGCAGGAAGGAAGTTATTGTCACTTCTGCTGCAGTCTGAGCAGCAGATGTAGTTCCCCCTTCTCTCCCATCTCCTGCTCTTCCCTCTGTAAAAATATTTAAATCCTCAATTTAATTTCAGTACTGGTATAAGAAGTCAAGAAGTCATATAAAAAGTCATTCACCACACTGAAAATGTCTCAGTACTGCTGATACATCTTTCCAGCTTTGAGAATAAACAATAATTTTGTTCCACCAAATGAAAGCGATCAAGTGGTTAATCCTTTCAAGTGCAATTAGCAGCACTGACCTCCCCGTTCTTTAAAACGAGGGTCATGGGGAGGTAAAGGCCAGTTCTGGGCCTTTTCTTTCATATCAGAATACCCTTTCACTAACTATCTCGTTTCCAAAAACATCAGAGAGCAAGGGGGAAACCAGGCTTCTACTTCCATTAGCTGTAACTTAAACAGCCATAAGTTAAAGGGGGAGGAAAAGGAAGAGCATCTCTGTCTATCTCCTTTCACAACAGAAGACATCTGGCCTCCCGTGGGGAGGCCCCAGATAACAAAGAACCTGTCATTACAAACCTCCACGATGTGTTCAGAGAACCATTTTACCTGCAGTCTGGCTCATTCATTTCCTGCCACTGAAGCCATCTGCTTTTGCTTATTGTGGGTATTTTTGTTCTTTGTTTGGCCAGGAGCACGAAGTGGCTTCACTTTAGCATGTCTGTACGCTTGGTCAGAGGGAGTGTTTAATCCTCTTCTCAAAATGAGTAAGAGAGGGAGCTGCAAAAAACAATTCCTTTCCTGGAAGACAGGACAAATGTCATCCAAGCCTAGGTTGAACAAAGGGTCATGTCAGTACATGGAGTAAAGATACATTGAGAGTGAACACCATTGAGATGGCAACTTGGAATCTACAGCAGAACTTTCCAAAGCACTTGTAATCTTACCTGATTTAAATCTTTAGCCACTGCTTCTTGCAATTTTTTTTCAGTTCAAGTCCATCTGGTTTTCCATATAGGCTTCTTCAAGCCCAGTTGCAGAGTAATGTAGTCATCTGTTCTTGCTTTTTTTCTTGCACTGAGCTTCAGTATTTTGCCTGAATGCTTTAAAAACCAGTCTGTCTTCATAAATGATGGTCACTGCATACTTATATAAAATATCATGTGATGTGAAAATCCATACCACCTAACCCTATCCTTGAAAAAAACAAAATAAGGAGAGGGGAAGACTTCATATTGCTTTCCCTTCATTTACTATAATGCAGTTAAGACACTCCCAGGTAGCATTAGCTTGTGTCTCAAAGTATGCCAGAAAGCTGCACATCAGCTGAATTCAAATTTGTGTCATGACGTAAAACTTAATGGTGACTGCAGCAGTATTAGAACAGGAAAGCTTTCCCACTAGGATGAAAAGATCTTGTGGCAATAAGATGCAGATCCATTGATAGCAGAATATGAGGTCACCCATTAAGGTACTGAACAACTCAGAATAATTCCTGACCTGTTGTCCTTTGTCTTGAGACATTATTTTAGTAAAATTCCTATTCTGTTATTAGTAAAAAAGCAAATTTTGACTGGTGACACTTAGTAATTCCACCAAAGTTAGTGTTTATATGAAAAATTTACAATGTTCTTCCTGTTCACTTGTTGGGAAAGATAACACATTGCTGCCATTTTATGGAAGAGAAATCATATGCTGTAGAGTTTTTAAAATAGTGTGTCACATTAAACTTGAAAACCACGCAGTAGTGGTGTGGTTTCTTCACTACTACCTGCCAGAAAAAAATTCAGATAGTTCTTGAGTCCCACAGCAAGAGGTGGGGACTACTTCTCTAATGCAAAACAGACTTCATATTTTCACCCCACTGAAAATGGAAATTTTTGTCTAACTTTAGCAATACTGGTGCTGTTACAACATTCAAATCAACTATGATTTTACTGTTGACTTTTCAGACCACTGGTGTTGCAATAGAATGTTTAGAAACACACCACAGAAGAGTGAGCAGAAGAGAATGCTGCACACCAGTATACTCAAGATTGAGTCCTACTCGACCTGTGATCCTGTGCGTTTCACTTCCCTTACCTTACCTGTAAAGTCACCTTCTGCCTCTGAATAACATGTCTCTACATATGAAACTGGGCCCATAAGCCAGTTGAACTCAGCATGAAATCCAAAGGCTGAGTATTATTACTTCAAAGGTTCTGGTGGTAAAATTTTCCAGCAGCAGGGATAGAAGGGCTACACAGAAGTATGTGTACATGTGTAAAAATCAATAAATACGTACCTCCCTCCTAGTGATAAATGCATTAGGACAAAAGCCAAAGATTTCTTTTATGATATTTCTGTCTTAGAGAACATAAAGAAGAATCAAAGTGTGGTATCAGATTTTACAAAATTAAAGAATAAACGGTTGTATGCACAGAGCAAATATATACTTTAATCAGATACAGACATATAGCTGATCCTGTTAATGTACACAGATGAATAGTTTGACTGGGAATTCATCTGTTAAGTTTGGATGCACTGTCCAGCACAAGTGCTGCATTATCCCTCCAAACAGTACTTTGGAAAAACAGATAATATTTCATACCTTTCCACCATTCTGAATATTGCTGCTAACGAGTCTTATGTCGTTCCTACTTGTCTCAAAGCATCATGTTTTCTTTGCATCTCCAAGAAGCAGTGAAGTATTATCTGTTAAAAAAAAAGAAAATTAAGCACATCCATCCAGGCTTAACAGGGCATGCTGAGAGACACCAAAAGGGTAAACAAGGTTATTCCAAAACAATGAAAAATTTAAAACAGCAAAGAAAAATTTAGGGCCTTGAACTGCACAGAAACTGAGTCACCTGCACAGAGGAAATGTCATGGATCCTGCTCCATCATTTGCTCAGCAGGGGAGGAAGGAGCAGGAGCACACCCACCCTGTACTAAGGAAAGTCTGCGCCTGGACACCTGGAGTGAACACGCACCTGTCTGAGCCTTGATGGGAAACTCATATGATACATTATGCAACATGATGTTTTCCTTGCTGTCTTTTAGTTACTTACTGGAGAATAAAATAATCAAACCGGAGTCCGTGTTTCTCGTGTTATCGCTTTTTATTAATAAATATGCAATTAGTTTATTAGTTCCTTGGTTTATGCTAGTATGTCTTTCCATGTAATTTTATTACAACCAACAGCATGGAAACCTATTAATGTAACTGTAAATTTTTATATCTTCTGTCCTACCAAAGTGAAATAGGACCTGGCCTTTACTCTGTGAGAATACATTTTTGTGCATATGATCCAGAATAATATATAACAAATAAAACAAGTTTTCTGTGAGGTAAATAACATGGACTCTTCATTATTTTGGTGCCATTTTATGTCTCAGTATCACCTTCAATAGACATCCTATCAACAATGATTGGATATAAACTCTAGTCATATTAGCGTCTATATCTGTTAATGTCTACAAGTCCTGCTTTTAAACATACTTTAAGACTTTCTAGGCTGGTTTTCATATGGAAAGCCTAACCTCTACTCAATTAAAAATTGAGTTATAAAAAACATTGCTGGGATGCACTCCATTTTGAAGTGCCTCATATAATTGTGATGGCTTTTTAAAACCATACTTCAATAAATGCCACCCTCACAGCTTAAAAGATCTGCTTTAAGTACAGTTTCTGAAGCTGTTTGCTTTGGAGATGGATGTTAAAGAATTGAGCAGACTTAGACTCTTTGCAAGTCTAAAAGCAGCATCCTTAGCGTCTTCTCCACAGAATACCTTGGGTTTCAGCAAAAAAGTTTACTCAAGTTGAAACTACAGATTTAATAACAAACATTGCTACTAATACTGAATAAAAATTCTGTATTTCAAGAACATCATAAATGCTTTATTTCTTTAAAAATTATTTTTGGGGCTTCAGGGTCATGACTAAATTGTTCATCAAATGCAGCATGAATTCCAGCTGACCTAAACCTGCATTTTCTAGTGATTAGTCTGTGCAGCTGAAACATTCTATCTTTCTCTGTTCATAGGCTTCCTTTGGGCCGAGTCAATTCTGCAGAGTCAATTTTTTTCATATTTACAGCAGACAGGGAAGCAGCCTGATACAGCTTCAATTTTCAGAAACATGTAAAGCACCTCAGTCTACTTGAAGCAGTTGGATCACGCTACTTCCCCTTTTAACCTCACACATGTCTAAGTGTGTTTAGAATATTGGCTTCAATCTGCATACCTATGTCAGTTAAGGGTACAAAAATGCTTGCATTCTTTTCTATCATGACTGCGTTGGCAAAAAATATAATGTAGAAACCTTTACATTGCCAAAAGCTTCCTCATTTCCTTAAGTATGGCTTGTTTTATCTGGGGAACTGGTTTAAAAATCAATGCCTGAAGCAGCTGCCAGGGAATCTGCCAACAAAACTATACTACTGAACTCTTAAATGCAGAATAATCTCTAACATAGGCGTAGCCTTACTAATTTTGCTCATTTTAAAAGGAGAATTCATTGAAAACATATAATGGGGTAAGAAACAAGCTATCTTTTGAACTCCATGAAAACTAACACAGTAAATTCAAGCAAGCAAGTTCCAGCATAAGGATAGTCCTATGGAAATGGCCAAGATTTCTTTTTCTAGGCCTCTGCAAAGTTCTGCCCTCTGCATAGAGGCAGTGGCCATTTTCAGTTAAACATGTGCCTATGTATATTCATCTTGCGAGGCATCAATTTAGAAAAGACGTTTCCTCTCTGTTGGCACTTTTTTGGTGAGAAATTAACCTACCATAATTAACACTATTGAACTCTGTCATTGCTTTTTTGTGTACCTTTTTTTTTTTTTTTTTTCCTCTCCAGCATTCCAGTACTGGCCTGCTAGTGATAATAGAACTGGGATCTTCTTGGGCTGCTGAGTTTACTGTGTCATTTGCACCAACGGCCAGAGCCAAGTCTGTATCTGAGACAAAAAGGAACTATATTACAAAATGTGTTATTATGAAAGGAAAAGCCACTGCTTTAAGTTATCAAGACAACACCAAAGCACATTAATCAAGCATACAATAAACGATGACAGTTTGTTGCTTCATCTGAATGAAAAAATTAAGTCCATCTGTTGGTGTTCAAACCTAGAATCGAATCTTGGCAGTTAAATGTGCTAATGAAAACTATTAAAAAAATTTTGTGCATTCTCTGTGTAAGATATCATAAAAATAAATACTCCTAAGATTTAAGAGGCAGTCTTACACAAGGCCCTTGTGAGGTTGCTAAATAGAGCACACATGTGGAAACTGAGGATGATGTCCGTTATACCATATAGTTTATTTCAACACTACTCAGTCCAAATCTAAAATCTCCATTCTCTTCAGTTCCTCAGTTCCATGGCTCAAGAAGCAGTCCATTTATGCGCGGTCCATTGTAGGTCCAGGAATTAACATTTTGTAGTCCAAGAGATTCCACAACTTGGGGTTAAGATGATAGAACACAGCTCTAAAAATTGATAATTCCTAAAACCTCTAGTCACAGTGCTCCTCTATTGATAAAGAAATGGGGTTTAGTTTAGAGCTGTAGCAGCAGCAGTTATCAACTAGGTGACCCTACCCTCATGCTTACTGAATCCTTCAAGGAGCTCTTAATGGGTTTGTGAAACGTGACATCTGCAAGAGCATCAGTGATTCCTCTGCCAAACGTACTTACCCATGTGCCTACCCATTCTGTTTTTTTTTTTAAAAAAAGTTGTTCACAGTTTGCCCAGTAAAGTCAAGCTTAATGGTCTGTACATCTGTTTAGTCTCTTAGAGTCCTTATTAAAATCAGCATCACATTCCAGCTTCCATTCCTCTTAACCTTTTTAACCACAGGGCTGTCTATGCCTCCCAGGAGCCTGGCAACCAGAGGAGGCAGGGATGTTCTGGCTGTACCATTTTTATATCTTTTGCAGAAGCCCTCCAAGTGGCTGAGATGCACGAGCCAAAGGAATTTAGTGTATTGTTACACAGAGAACAGCCTCCAGGTTAAGACAACCGTAGGTCTACTCTGAGCAGAGAAGGGAATAAAAGCAGCCTGATAAAGAAATGTCTGTTGTCCCTGCTGTTTCTGAGTTCCTAAAATGCATGCAAATATCTCAAAATTACATCCTCATACACAACAGTGCAAGCAGATCAGCCTTATTCACAGCAATGAAGCTACACCTATTTCAGACATTGCTGAAAAGTAGATACATCATCTTGCTTCTCCAGATTGAGTTTACAGGATGGACAGCAAGTCAGAAACCTTCTAAGATGGTCAGCTGAAAAGATTAGACATGGAGTCTTCTCAGAGGCAGTAAATTCAAGATCCAATGGTACTAAATTTAGCTTGTAAACCTTCCTTTATGAGCTATCACCTGCATGTTTGCTTGGAACAAAATGATACAGTTGACTCCCATCCATTAAGCTGGTTTCAGTGATGCAAAGCAGCTCTAAAACAGATAAAACAGTGAAAAATTCTTAGGTGAAAGAAATACTGCCAGTTCAAGGTGATACAAAGACCTGAAAAGGTGCTGTTGAAATTACCAGATCTCCACCTGTCAGTGGCCTACGTAGTGTCTGTTTTAATAGTTGGCAGCCTGAGAAGGAGGGGAAAGGCCTAGAGGCAGCGTAGAGCCATTTTTGCCTTTCTTTTTGATGCTACAGATCATACACATCTCCAGGGAAATGATCACAGCTGTTACGGCCTTCCTTACTTACACAGTGGGGAATATATTAGGAAAGATTTGCCATCTTCACAAACTTAGCACTTATACAGGAAAAAAAAAATCCAAAAGAGACAATTAAGTGAGTGAAAATTAAAACCACAAATCATTAACACCCTTAACATTGATTTTGTGTGTGTGTGTGTGTGTGTGTGTTTTCTAACACTGCAGCGTTCTATTTGGAATCCACTATTTTATTGCAACTAAAGCCTTTGACCCTTTTAAAAATAATTTCTTTAATCTTCCAGGGAAGAGTATATAAACTTCTTGACTAATAACAAATTTCTAGGACTTTGAGTGTTTTCTGTTGGATTTTTTAATGTGACTATACAAAAACAACAGCACTTAACAATACAGCAGCCTGCTTTGCTGGGGGAGGCACTTTGGCAGTTCTTTTCCTTTTTTTCCATATCCCTCTCCTTTCAGAGGCCCCTCATCATGATGACCCATCCATTTGGCTAAGGGCTGCATGCAGCTGCATCTGAAAGAAGCCAACTGTATTCTTGGGTCAGCTGGAGAAGTCTGCTTGATTACAACTGTAGGTATATACAGTGCTTCTGACGCCTGTAACGGAGGGGAGAGACGACCTCGACCCTCACCTCAGGTTTCAGTAGAGGTAAAAACCAGATCAATTGGTTATGTCGCAAGTGCTTAATAGCTTCAGGCAGCCCAGTGCATCAAAACTGTTTTATTTAAGGATTTTCTCCTACATATTTGGAACCATAGTCTTTTGTTCACGTGTATTCATAAAATACTCTCATTTTTCGTGATTTGTTATGATGAAGAATGATTAGCTGACACGTTTCAACTCAGTGGCTGTGCTGTCCCATAGATGGGATGTGTGAAAACTGAATGTTTCCTGATCTCTGTTAATATTTTCCATGTATAGTTATCCTACAGAAACTAAACTCTCCTAAAATATCATGACACAAACTTTTTTGTTATTGTTGCAAATTGAAAATGAATGTTGGCCAAAGCTTGCCATTCTTAGAGAAATCTCAGAGCAAATAGCTGATTACCCTGCATAAATCTTGGCAGGGGTGGGTTACCCATTTTTAGGAAAAGCAAGAAATTTATTATTTTATGAGAATTAACACAAAGAGGGAGGCCCAGTGAAATAACTTCAGTGACTTCATCTCAGATTTCTCTGCTATAAACCAGTACCATTCAAAGGGTGAAAAAAAAAAAAAATCCATTTAAGGTTCGTGCCCAAATTCTTTGTATTTCCACTACCCCAGCTCTGTTCTAGAGGCCTGCATTATTTTTTAACATGGGAAAACCCCCCAGCAGAGTTCACAGTTATATAAAAGTGAGGCATTGTTCATTAAGGACAGGTCTGGTTTACAGCATAGCTGGA